TAAAATCCTTGCTCAAGGAAATTCGTTGTTAATGAGAGGAAGTTAACACTATGCGTTGGGTATCATACCCTCGTCACTAAAGGACAAAGCAAATTACTAACCCACTGCATCACTATCTACCAGAATCGGGACGATAAAGCTTCAATCTTGAAATGAGCTCTGCCCCAGTGGCGTGTGGCGCAGTGCCGAAAAGGTTGACTTGGGACTCTGGTGGTTCAGTGTTCGAATCCGCTTAATGGACAGAATTTTTGCCCTAACTACGAATTTCTTTGAGGAAGGAATTAGCCCAAACTTGTTTCGGTGCAGCCAGCTGAGAAATGGGTAGTATGTTGTTGATTTGTGAATAGTAGGGACTAGATGGTGTTCAGCTGTGGTCATTCCAGAATGGACGTGGTATACAGCCATTGGTCCTTCTTTTTATGAAGTTGATGGTGCAGTGCTGATCGCTGCTTTTGTCATCTGCCAGGTGTGCCTTAATTTTTTAAAGGTAAAGTCCATAGCCATGTGGCAAGCGCAGCGTGTAGTCTCCTATTTCCTTCCCACATAGTGGTACTCATTTATCTATTTGGGAAGGACGAAGGGCCAGTGACCATGACCGGACCTTGAACTTGGAATCTATCGGTTCTGAGTTCGACGTTCTACCGACCTAGCAACGCCCCGTCTGAAGCAGTGCGTTGTAAAGTTTTGCTCAAGGGAATTTGTGATTGCCGTCGAATGGTATTGAACCCGTCACCTCCGGATTTTGAAGCATACCTTTTAGGAACTGCCCCACCAAGCCACTCGCATGTGAAACAACACACTGAACAGCACCTCACATCCATTGCACATCAGCCTTTTAAGGGTTTGTCCAAAATTTTATCCTTCCGTTAACGTTTTATCAGCATCTCAGCGAGGACGGAGTTATGTCGCAGGTCATTCATTCCTTACGTCTTCATCGTGCATTCTCAGCTCTACTCAACCCGCTAGACAGGCCTACTTGACTGTGCTAAATGTAACGTAGATGTTTGTTCCCATGCACTGTAATGTCCTTTTGCTGGTTTGTTGTTAAATTTCTAAAAATTCTTTATTTCACACAATGTCACTTAATTCTTTCTTTCTTTCTGTGACATATCCTATCACTTTCCTATGTAATCTATGGTATATTTGTTTATTATTCCGTATGCTGAAAAATGATGTTCATCGTTGTTGGCATTCAAGCAGTAAAAATCTTAAATCTTTTTCTTAATGATTTGGCTTCTGCAAATGAATTCCGTGATTCTAACTTTACGGATACTTATGAATTGTGTAATTGTGCGAAATAAATCCTTTATAGACTGCCAATGAAAAGTAATGTTTTCACAAAAATCCTTTTAATGTTTTTAAAGCTGTGTGAAAGTCCTTAGTGTATCAAATTATGTGTGAATCCTTTTTTCATTTCTTCTTCATCTTCCCTTTTTTCGATGTTGTGCTTTTTGTTTGTGACTCGCTTTATATACCTGTTCTGTTAACCAGTAGGAGTAGTTTTTGGTACCGGTATGAGTGTACTGGTATACTGTAATTAATTTAAGCAATAAATTCTTTTATCTAATTTTTGCTTGCCTCTTGGATGCTGTCGTGTTGCATACAGATAGCTAGAGAATGTTTAATAATCAAAGTAGTTTCCTTACTAGTAACTTAAGTGGTATACAGTTTCGCTTGAGTTTAAAGTGGTGGTGTTAATAGAAAGATTCATTCATTCAGAAAGCACACTTTTTCTTGCGGGTTGCTGGGTCGACTGCTTCGGCGACCTTGTCAAAGGTTGCGGTTTGTGGCTAAACGGGCAAACTTTGAGGTCTGGATTCCTATGTACCACAGTTTTAGCTTTTCTGTATAATTGACCAAACTGATCCAAGGTCTGTCTTTTGATCGTCCTCCCTGTGTCTTTGGTAAAAGGTGATCCTGTCGAGTCTCTGTGGTAGCATCCTCATTAAGTTGGTGTAAATCTAAACGTTCAAATTCCGAACGGAACGTTTTGTCAGCGCAGTTGTTTAGTCTGTTCTCATGCTGGATAATATTAGCTGACTATTTACTGTTTTTTCTAGTTAAAAGTGAATTGGTTCTGGTGGAT